CCTAGAATCTAGCTAGCTTCATTATCAAATTCCTATGGATAGCTGTGTTTGGACCTAGAGACTATCAAAGATGATTGACATGTTATATAATAAAGGCAAATGGAATAAATGCAAAACTGGTTGGCCAAGTCAGTTCTGTGGACTGTTAGCACTGCTATAAAACTGTAGTTAAATGTTTATATTTGGGCCAGTCACCCTAGATATGTGCAGCAGCAAAGAAGGTTCTAACAGTGTCGGCCTTCATTTGTAAAAGGAACAATGGGTTGCCACTTCTTTCCCTCACCTCCCTTCCTTAGCCCTCCGCTACATTTTCCATACTTCATAGATCCTCTGCTTCTCTGTTATGATCATCTCTAGCCATAAAAATGTTGCCCGCAGTGACAACATCTTTAGTTAATACTTTTATAGCAATACAAGCATCTTTATAGTTACAGAAGGCAAATAGGAGCTACAGCTCTGGTGAGAGCACACAGCGCAATGAATTGACACCTGAATGTTATTTTGTAAAGTGGCAAATGTCCATTTGTCCTGTTTCATTAAGGCTTGTGTCACATACGTAATTTTTCCTACTGATCGGGAACAGTAGCTTATTGACCTTGACAGTTAACTTGTTACATCTCTCAGGGATAATGGTACAAGATATGTCTAGCGTATATCCTAGCATTCTTGGTTCTCGTAATTCCGCTCTAGACTTTCCCATTTGAAGTCCCAGAAATATCTATTAAATGAATATGTGGGGAATCTAAAAAAATTACAACTTCTATGGTTTTTGCAGGGGCAAAGGTTAGGGGCAAAAGTTAATTAAAGAAATAAGAAGATGGTGGATTATTTTACCAACCCATTGCACCAGTACGCAGAATATCAGTAATTACATAATGACACTTTTTCAGTTCAACAGCCATACTTACCAGGTATATCCAAACCCAAAAACAAAAATGTAATATATTGCAGCCTGCCAGTCCTTAGATGTGGTAGTGGAATTGGTTTCCTTTTTCAGGATAAGAACATTTTAGCAAGTACAGAAAATGTCCTTTTTTTAACCTTCTGTTAGCTTAAAAGAAAGCATAAATAATGTTATCTCTGTTTTGTAAATTGCTAGGCCCATCAATCCTCCATATAATGAAGATGAACAAAGGCAGATATATTTAAAATGCAGCCTGTATGACAACCATGACTTCTTCCATAGATAGCATTGGGAAGTAAATGTAGACACAAAGGGGTTGATTTCATAAATGCAAAAGAAAATGTGCACTTTGCAAGGGAAATTTCCTTTAGCTTAGTGGATGTGGAGAAAAATCACTTTTAAATTTTTACCCAATCACGAGCAAGAATAAAAAAACAGCATTTTTCTATGCACATGATTGGATGATAGTCAAGCAGAGCTTTACCTCATATTTCTAAGCTAAGCACAATTTACCTGTAAATCACAAATTTATTTGCAAGAGTTTTACTCGCGGTATTACCCAGTGAAAAAAAGAAAATGAATGCAGGCATCTCATCTGAGGACAAGTTAATTGTTTTTGATGCTTCAGAAGTTGCCATAAGAGGTCATCTTTGCTCCTCTAATTTATGTAGCCTCTGCAGCAACCATACACACTTCAAAATCATCAGATCACATCAAACATATTTTTTTGTTGTTGCTTTCTATAGAACCAAAAGACTAAAGGCCAGTAGGTATAATATGCATTTTTGAAGATAGCGCAATTCTGTGCCCTATTTTATACTTGGAATCACATTTGTGGAACAGCTTATTTACATTTTACTTGGAACTCCATACCCACTGACCTCTAGAATACTTTATTGTCCAGTTTAGAAGGCCTAAGCGTAGCACTTGTAAATAAGAAAAATAGAAATGGATATTGATGAAAGTCAGAAAATGGCAAGTCAGTAACTGACTTGTCATTTCCAAGTGTAACATGGAGCAGAACTGCAGGACAGACATACTTTTTAGAAATCTAATAAAAATCTAATAAAAATAATCTTGAATCAAACCAAAAATAATACACTCACACATGGATTTATTTTCCACTGACTCCCTACAAATCCTTAACTACAAACTGCTTTAAATAGGAATAGGCTCTATGAGGCCCCTTTTGCTGAAGTATTGATTTAGCTTGCAAACGACAAAAAATGAAAGAGCAAGTTCACATGGCATGAGATCATGTAAGCTTAGAGATGACTTTCATCCTGACTGTATTTGTGCTTTAAGCACCATATTTCATGGGAGATAAGACAAGCTAGAACATAGTATACATACATTACCATACACTAAATAACCCTTTTTGCACAATTGCCCATTTCCCCGCACTTCACCTCTGCTGGCAAAGACAGCACTGTAGGTTAAATATTTCCATTACATGCCACAGAGATATCAGATTCCGTTAGTGTGTCTATGATCAAAATGAAGCAACTGTTTCCTTTTGGCATCAAATTACACAATGGAAAAACAGCTTTGAACAATGTCACATCTATCATCTTTATTTCTGCTCCAAATCTGCCAAACCCCAACCATCAATGGTCATGTTTGGGTAATCAACGCCCACTTTTACTAAGCTTATCATATATTTGTTAGTGTGCCTATGGTTAAATCCAAACCCCAACCATCAATGGTCATGTTTGGGTAATCAACACCTTGTCCTTGAGCTGGAGAGACTCCAGAGAAGGGCAACTAAACTAATTATGGGGCTGGAGGACCTAAGCTATGAGACAAGGTTACTAAATTTAAACTTGTTCATGCTAGAAGTGAGGAGATTAAGAGGGGATGTGATTTTGATGTACAAAATGTTTAGTGGTGATGGCTACATCAGCAATAAACTGTTTACAGTAAACTCCATAACAAGGATTAGAGGCCACCACCTAAAATTGGTGTAGAAAAGATTTAACCACAAGGGGCTTTTTTTTCAGTTAGAGTGGTTAAAGTCCAGAACTGGCTGCACAGGCAGTGGTATCAGCTGAGAGTATTGAATCATTCAAAAAGCATTTAGATACCTTCCTCAGAGACCGTAAAATACGGGGGTACAGGTACTCTTAAAAACAAGGTCACAGGGACTGATGTACACACATACACACGCACAATCACACACAGACACACAAAGGTTGAACTTGATGGAACTGTGTCTTTATTCAACCTCAAATACTATGTAGCTATGTAACACCCACTTTTTCTAAGCCTGTCAGGTATCTGTTAGTATGCCTATGGTTAAACCCAAACCCCACCCGTCAATGATCATATTTGGGCAATCAACACCCACTTTTACTAAGCCATTCAGATTCTATTAGTGTGCCATTGGGGCAACTGTTTCCTTTTGGCATCTAATTGAACAATGGAAAAACAGCTTTGAACAATGTCACACCTATCATCTTTAATTTCTGTTCCAAACCTGCCAAATCCCAACCATCAATGGTCATGTTTAGGCAATCAATACCCACTTTTACTAAGCCTGTCTTTTTGATTGCTATGAAAAATCTGTATTGGCCAACTAAAACACTATCCTCAGAAATTGTGCATACACAATTATTTGTAATCTGTATTATTATAAACAAGTGTCCAGCATGATTCAGTATACCAACTACACAAATAAATGTTTTAGGGCCTCTTTCTGACAATTTGACAGTTGCGAAAATTCCCAAAAACCACCACTATTTTTTGTCCAATATGATGAAGCAGATGCTTCTATACTTTGCAACTGAATGCATCTCATGTGAAAGAATAAAACTGCAAATATTTATTTGTGCAATTGCTCCAACCATATGGTACACGTGAATCATACCGAAAAGCTGTCATTTAATCATTGTAAAATAATAAACCGTGTTCACGGCATAATCAAAATCCAGTGTATGATCTGGCAACAGGAAAAATATGTTCCCACATTAAAACTGACCACACCTCAGCTAATAATCTTCAGTGTGTACCTGGACGTCATCAGGCCAGGAGACAGTAAATATTCCTCCGATAGCGCGTTATCTCTTGGCTCCTGTTCCCGCTTTTCTCAAACTTGATTAATCGCGTGCCTGTTGTATAAATGACAAAGACATCATTGTTTCCTCATCAATGAACTGAATGTAGCTAACCACAAACAAGTAATCACTGAGAAGCCACAATAAAGAGGAAAATTAAAAAGAAGGACAAATACAGCCAGGCAGAGTTCGATACTATCACACCCAAATCATCTTGTAACATATTAGTCTCTGTGGGTTAAAATCACAGCGTAACACTCGTCTTTTCTGTTAAACCCTCTGGGTTAGGGGATTTCTAACAACAATCCCTGAGATTACAGGATTTAGCGCTGTATTTAAACGTGCAATTTGATGCGGAACACAGGGCGAATCACTAGCCGTTTTAGAAGTAATTTTCCTAACCTGCCATAATTAAAACACATTCTATTTCTAGAGCATAAGCAAATCCGTTGAAAAGTTAGGCTGAATGAGGACTTAATAATGAGCAAAAAGGTCAGTTCTTGGCCATCCATTATTTGCAATGTACCTGACTCAGGCCACTTATTTATAAAGAGGAGAGGAGACTCTGGCATACATAACACACCCCCAATGTTGGCATAAATATTCTTATCAGTACCCAAGCCCTCTTAATTAAAAGCACCTCTCTTCAGCTTTCGAGTGCCGTGACTCTGGCACCCACAGAGGGTAATTAATTTGGGTTCATGAAAAGTGAAACGGGAAAACCAGAAGGAGTGGGAAGAGGTGACACTTCTCTGTGACATAATCAATGCTTTCTTTTTCCCTCCCTCTCTTTCAGCTCTCTGGATCTGTGTGCTGCCAACTCAACCTTACTATAATAAACTCTTGCCTCCCTCCTCTCCTCCAGAGAACCTGGATCGCTTAATTAACAGACAATCGCCTTTCTCCTCTTCTCAATGTTTTTCCCTACACTTGCAGGCCACTATGTGACATTAACTCCCTTCCTCCTCGTTCGCTCCATCCCAGGGATTCAGGCTTTTTCTAGTATTTCTTTTTTTGTTTTTTCTCTTTTTCTGCCGATTTAGTGATCTAGACAAAGACTTTTGGAATAACAATGAGAGCACAGCCCACCAGAAATGGAGCTCTTACCCTCCAAAGGAGTTTATCCTAAACATTTCACCTTACGCCCCCTATGGTGACCCAAGGCTGGCCCTCAAGTGAGTCTTTCTATGGTCGTTTGTAGTGAGTATGTACAACTTCCCGACTCCTCTCACACGCCTCCTCCCACCTGCTCCTCTAACCCTCGCTCCACTTCACCCCATGGGCAGATAAGCCATGGAGACGAGCAACCCCTCCTAGCTTCCACTAACGGACGCGCCTCCTTTTCTAGTCTCCCCCAGCCTTTCCTCCCTCTCCATTTTAAGGCCAGGAAGGGTTGCCCGTTATAACAGCGTGTGCTCTACATCCGCACTGTGTGGTCTGATTCACTAACACGCCTCTTTCTTCCTGTGGCTGGCTAGCTGTCTGGTGCCTTTCCTGACAGATTTTCTCCATGTTAACCCTATGTTGTTTCTTGAGATGTGGACTTTTTACCGTCATCATTCCCGGGCTGCCGTCTTCCTCCCTCTTCTAACAAGAGATGCTTTGGGTTATTTTATACTTGTTGTCTTTTGATTTTCAGTGCTGACCTCTTTCTCTTTTTCTCTTTTTTTCTGGTGTCTTTGTGTGTGTTTCTTCACCCCACTGTGTGTTTGTGTCTTCACATTTGCTTGTCCTTTCTTTGCACATGGGCACATTACAGTGGCACAGTGTTGTCTGGTAGTAAGTCAGCTGCATGTGGAACCTCTGGGTTACTGGACAAAGATGGCCGACTGGGAGACAAGCAGTTTCACAGTGAAAGCATGAAGATTAGCACGTCTTCCCAAAGCCATCACAGTGAACCAGGTCTTGGCAAGCCAGGGAGAGGCCGATGGCACACAGTTCAGAGCCACCTGGTATCCGGGAATCTCAGTCGAACCAAGTGAGTGTCTTATAATTTTAACTATGAGTATATGGCAACTATATAAAAATTACTTTTTTTTATAAATTCAGCTGCTGTTCTTCAGCAAAACTTAGTAGAGGAGCACAAGCCTCATGGGTAAACTAGAAAAACCTAATCTCCAGGCTCTGGCCACAAGACTCTTTCCTGACTACAAAGCACTTCCAGTGTATGGAAAGAGATACATTACAGCCAGGTCCAGATACCAGCAAGCTTTTCATTCAAACCATCAGCAGAAGAGAAAAGTTAACCACAGGGTGCCTTGCTGCATTTCTCACATCAGTGATTACTCATAAGGCCTTATGAGTGAGTACTGATGTGGGAAGTGCATCAAGGCACTCTGTAGTTATCTTCTCTATTCTACCAATGAAAGTTTGCTGGGGTCTGAACCTTTCTGTAAAATATAATGTTCTATACACTAGAGTTGCTTTAAAACAGCCCTCAATTGTTTTCCTGTTCCGTGGGGAAACAAGAAAGGCTTCAGACAAAATCGTTCTAGTGGTTTATTTCTTGTTAACTAGCAAAGTGTATTGTCCATTTGGGAAGTTTAATTCATTCAGAGTATTTGTTAGTTTTGTAAATAGAGTGTAAGGGTTGGGACCATTACCAGGTTTTAATTTCTCTCTGTGGACCCACAGTCAGGACATAAGGGGGAAGTCTACCCACTGGCCATTGACCACAATAAAAACATTTAAAGAGTGTGGAGATAGTTGAGGAGCACTTTGGAATCTCCAGCAGTGATTACTTTATCAGTGTATGACATAAAACATAGCCAATATATTTCGGGGGATTGTGACTTCCCTTTTTCTAGGTTTTGGTAGTGTTAGCCCTGTTGTTCATGGCACTGCAGTCTGTGTCCTAATAGGGTAACAGTGTTCAGGAGTGTGGGACTTGGAGTGGCCATGGCCAACAGATCTAGCACTACAAAAGCCCTGAAAAAGGGGCCCCCAATCCCTAAAATGATTTATTTCATTTCAAACAATAATAAAGTGAGCATTGCTCTTCAACCAGCTGGAGTTTCCAAGACTTTCACACACGCCACACCACGTAGCTAGAGCTATGGGAAGAGGCATGCGGACAGCTCATGCAACTCTATAGAGACACAGGAGCTGTGTGCCCTCACACGTTGCTTCTCGCAGCTCCAAGTTCTGACAGTTGCACATAGACAGTGTTCAAAACCTGGAGCCATCATCTATGAACCTGAGGCGGTACACTGTTTGTAGCTTTCACGGGGCGCACATCTCCAATTCCATAGACTTACATGAGCTGCCCGCAAAATTCTTCCCGCAGCTCTTGATGCATGAAAAATTGACCCTTCATGCTGTACAGGGCAACATGCCCCATGTGAATGAGGCCTTAATCATATCAGCAAGACTGATCCATAAACACTTCCTTTACTAGGGTGACAATGCTTACTCAGTTTAGTTACTGTGTTGTCACCCTGTCCATGCCATTCCCAAATTGGATTTGTACCAATGCTCAGTGCATCAGCATATTCTGCCATATACACTGCAGTTAAAATGCGCAGTGAGGTTCTGCTGCTGTGGCGTGGTCACATATACAGGAAGTACATACAAAGAGCCTCCAGAATGTGACCAATGCTGGGAGATAATTAACAAGGTAAGAGTGAAAATAAATATGCAATCCTGTTTTACTTTCAGTGTTTTACAAAAATAGGCACTATTCCGTGAAGGTTTAGTTCTCCTATAAAGGAAAACAAATGTGTATTTTCGGTGCGTGATCATTTTTTATTATTGTAAAGTCATTTTCAAACTGGTTTCCCAGTTTAGCTGGCTTGCTGTGCCATCATTATATATTATGGCAAGTGGCTGTCTGCTGATCAACTGTGAAGATAAAATCAATTACAGAATAAGCCTTCTAGAGATTGGCATCAATTAATTAAACAGTAGCACAAGCAGCAAGTCCAGTATTGCGTGATATTTGTGAAATGTTTCACTAAAAAATAATATTTTCAGCTCACAAAAGGCCTTATCGCATGGGTCAGGTTTATTTACTGCATAAATTATTCTTTCTTATTAATTTATTGAATTTTCCAGGCTATGTTTGTGATAGCCAATTCACAAAATGTATCAAAATTATTATGACTTTTCATGCATTATTCCCCCTTTGTTATTTTGTTACCTACTGGATGTTTTACTGATTGTTGAATTCTGTGAGATGTCTACATAGAGGAGAGAAAATTGAACAAATCGAGCTCTGCTATGTAGGAGAAAGTTTTCACAAGAATAAGAAATATTGATCCTTTACAAAAATTGATTGACGAGAAATAAACATTTGCAGTTGTTAAATGTATAAGTATTGCATGTGAAGAAATAACTCATGTGAAATTATGGTTCATGAATTAAGATATAAAGAGAAAGGATTCATTATATAAAAGATCGAATATATGATTAAAACAACTCATACAGCTTAGTGAATGGATACCATTGCATAATGTCCATTAGAACCTTTTTGGGCTACAATGGCTTTAAACTTAAAGGGTTTTTAAACCCTCCGTTTTTTTGTTTTTTTTTGCATATATCTACAGGCAAGTAGATATATGCAAAAACTTTTTACAAAATAAACGCTTTAAAAGAGGTAAAAACTTACCTGTATCTTCGCCTCGCGCTCCCGTCCGAAAATCTGAAAAATCTCGAGTGTCAGCCAAGGATCTTGGGGCGGGCGCATGTGCAGTTCTGATTTTTGGCCGGGAGACAAGGAGAGACACAAGGTAAGTCTATGGACAGCGTGCACCTGCATGTAGACTCCATGGCACAGGAAGTGCCAGCAAGCGCAGAGGAGTCAGCGCTGGATCGAGGACCCGCAACAGCGTTGGAGAGAAGGCTGAAAACTACAGGAAAGAAGAAGATCGGATTGAGACATCATTTAAGGTAAGTGCTTACACTAACATTGGAACATTGGGGGAAGGGGAAAAAAATTATACTTTAATGTAACTTTAACTAAGATAAGAGTGGAGTAAATCAAAATCACTAAGCAGCACTGCTGAATAAGAAACACATACTGAACAAGTAACAAACAAATATGGCTGCTGTTATGCAGATAGATAATTGCAGACTTTTCAAAGACACGTAATAACTGTGGAGTTTAATTTTAAAACTACCCACGACATCATTGTTATGCAGCCTAGGCATCTTTAGCTAGATGATATGGCATTTCCCTGCATGTGAAAGCCGCGGATAGATACTTGAGGGCAAATATTGATCTGACAGGTTTAGAAACACTACTGATTGCCTTAGGTCCTTCTAAGTACACAAAATTGCGAACCACCACATGAACTAGGACACCACACCCCTAAGTATACAGAATACAAAAACAAACATAGAGAAATGGGGCTTTAAAAGTGTCCTCAAATGCAAGGAGACCCAGTTCAAAATTACATACAAGTTGTTTATTGTATAAAAATATATATATTCTTTATTAAAATAAAGATGACAGATTAGTGATATCATTAGATGGTACAAAACCTCCCTGGATCACATATAGATACATACTGTGTATATAACAATAACTTATTAACATATATCTCTTATATAATTGCATAAATAAATTCATCCATAATGATGAGTAGATCTCTAATCTGTCTAAAAAACTGGACACATTATAGATCTACTCAACAGATTTCTCTATTTTTGTTTTTGTATTCTTAGATCCTTCTAAGAAAAAAGTTATTAAGAGGTATCCCCCTCCACACACACTTCTGCCGTCACAGCATATACACGCAACTCTCAGTTGAACAGAAAATGCAAATGTTTGCACAAAATTAGCTAGAAACCATAATCTGGGGCCTTTGTTAAGAGCTGGAGGAAAAAATCAATAGAGGTTTTGTCCATAGCATCCAATTAAGAGTCTTCTAACCTACACTAGAAATTTTGGATAGATTTTGGCTACCATGAGAGGACCTACAGTTTTATTTTTTTCCAGATTAACTTCATAACTGTTATAGTTGTTTTCTAAAGAAACATCAGGGTGTTGAGTATATATTTATACAAAATGGAGCTTACTTTTTACTGTTAGTCTCTTAGGCAAGGAGAACCTAAGGACTTAATATACATTTAAATACGGTAAGCTAATAAAATGCACATTGGTTAAGAGTTTTCTGGTAAGCAGAGAGAAGGTGAAAAAAGTCAAATAAATGTGATTTGTGAGATTTTAAGAGTACACACAGATCCTAATTGCATTTTTGTGCAAAATATCTTGAATGCAACCCAAGCAGCATTCAATTTACATTGCCTGTTTTATGTAGTTCACTGATTATGACAGATAAAATGACTGATTAGTCTGCAGCACTAGCAATGAGCAAAGGCTCATGGGAGAGGTCAGATGACAATTGAATTTAGCCAATAACTGCCAAATAATCCTGGCACCTATTTTTACAAATTGTAACTGGCTGTGCAGCAAGTGATCAGTATGCCAATAGATCAAACACATTATTGTCAACATTTACAGTAAAAAAATCAATGAAATTCTTGAGTTCTGGACCAAAACCTGGCAACACTAATGTTTCCTATCAGTGCAGCTCAGTTGTACTTCCTGAAATGCTTCACAGTGATAATCTCGACTCCAGACACACAAGACACAGAAAATCTGTGAGATATGACAGGCATTACTGTAGCAAGGTAATTTTAACTCATTAGCTGAAATCTGGGAAATGTAATTATCTGAGAATTATAAGGGAAACACCAAAAATGCAATACGGAAATCAGATTGTCAAAATGAATGAGGTTGCTAGAGACAATAAGACAAATACTCCAAAATAATTTTAAAATTTTATTCGTAAACAGGTCTGACCAATGGAGGTCTTCTAAAAATAAGAACTAACAGTTGGTCATTGGGGACAAAGAAAAAAAACACTATTAAAGAGGAACTTTACCCATATCTTCAAAATAACAACAAAGGCACCTTCAGAAATGTTTAGTAATAACAATCTACAAACACATAATTATAGATAATTGCCGGCTTTT